ACGCCAAGCAAGGCGGTTTCCCTTGCCGACGTAGAAAACTGCTATTATCTGTTGGCGAGCGGAGTCACACTTCCTATTTTGTGATGTAGCTGCGCGTGCGCTGGGCATGGATATAAATGCATACGGTTGCATACACGTTTTTTTTAATTTCCTTTTTGCAATGGTCTTTCTGCGCAAAAGCAATTTTAAGTCTCCGAAAGTGGAGCGGACCTCTATAATCCTGCGTGTCATATTCTGCAGTTCTGTTTTGAGTTATATCATTTTTTTTTTTTTCTATGTTAAAAAGGTGAAATGTGGAATGTCATACATTGATATTTGGTACAACGATTGGCAATATATTTATTTTTTTTTTTTTGCGTGCAGAAGAAATTCACGTATTTTTCTCCATTTAAAAAATTTTTCTTTTCGCCAATTTTGTTTCGAAACGGCATGCGCGAGTTGGAAACCTTTACAGTGTCATTCCCACTGTCTGCACGGAGCGAGGAACCCACGCCTATTTGCCCTCGAACGGTGTCATGGTTTTGCAGCGGTGTTTGGAGGGACACACCCCAATGCCAATGTAAACGGGACAATATGCCAACTATCAACATACTAAGTAGCAATGTTCCAACATGCCAACGCCTTTATCCCCTCAATTTTTTGTGGACAACGGGGAGGCGGAAAACTCACCGGATAATTTGCCCCTAATGTGGATGCAGTGCGGGGCTGTTTTCTCCAAATTGTGCGAAATGTGTTTATTAAAAAAAAAAAAAAAAACGTGTTAAAGTGGCATTTTAAAAGGTGTTTATTTTTTTCTTTTAATATGTCGTGGTGAGGAGTTTTTCACCCCCACTAACTTCTTCAGGAATCACTATCCTAGTAGAAGCAGCTCCTTAGATGTCTCTCACGTGTGTGGAGTATCCCCACGCGAGAGGCGATTCTCACCATGCGATGATATCTCGCGGGGTTCCACAAAATTATAGAAGTGCAACGGTTGATAAGGGGGAGCTCTTAAATAGGTGCTGGTACAAAGGCACCTTTGAGGGGGGAGGGTAAGCGCACATTCGTGTAAAATTACAGCGCGCTTCCCTCGAGTGCTCCCTTTTTGAGGTCCACTGAATCAGCTGTTCTGGATCGACTGGCAAGAGAAGTCGACGACGACGGAGGAAAAGTGGTTAATAAATTCGTCGTAAAAGTTGGGCTTGAAAATCTTGACCTTGTCTAGCTGTAGAACCAAACCGGCGTTGTAGTAGACGCTGTAAAAGTTAGACACGGTGATGTTGCTCAGAACCTTCTCGTTCAGCAGTTGTATCTTCTTCGTGACGGGGTTCCAGCTGACGATTGTTAGATTTATTTCAAATTCGTAAAATCTGGTATGGAAATTTTGAGAAAGTTCTAGTTGCTCAAAATATTCCTTAAATAAGATGAGGATGTAGTCCTTGATGGAGACAATAAAGGTGCTGGAAGGGACGTTGTTGATAATAATTTTGGGGGCGGTTGGGTCTCTGAAGAGGTTCTTGTTTTCGAGTGGCTTTAGCTGCAGATACATGACGACTTGGAAGTTGTTTTGGCTCAAATCGACGATGGGGGGGTAGGCGCTGAGATGCATCTCGGGCATGCCCTTCTCCGCGAGGCTGCTGCTGGGGTGATCATCTGAATCACTGCCATCACCGCGGTCACCACTACCACCGCTACCATCGCTGCCCCCATGGTCGTCCTTCTTCACCACTTTGAGGACAAAATTCGACTTGGAGTACCTGAGCACAATGTCGTACACGTCTTCGATGGACGCCTCCGGAGCGATATCGAATACGTCCTTTTCGTCCAGGATGTATATGAGCTTATAAAAGGAGGACACCTCGTTGTACTGGAGGCCGTGGATGTGATGTCTCGCCTTGGACAGCTCATTGATGAGAGTGGAAACAGTCATGTCTCTATATACATTCTTCACATACACATGTGTGCCATCCGGATTGTAAAGAAAGAACTCCACGAAATGTTGCTCATGTAAATTTTGGAAGGAATGTACTTGGGTTATGTCGAAAGATTCTATTCCGCCCATTTGGAACCCGGAATAATTATCCAGCTTGTTGTTGTGATGCAGATCGAAGTAAATGCTAAACCCGTAAGATAGCAAGCACTGAATATGTGGCACGCTATTCTTTAGCCCTTTCTTAAAAGTGATTCCTTTTTTATCAATGTGGGTCAATTCGAAGAGCTTATACAAGTAAGGAGACAAGTTAATGTGGCAGAGAATATTTTGGAGAAGAATTTTTTCATTCACTCTGAAGTCGATGTATGGCAGCATCAATGTGTTGTTGTAGTTATCTCGGATGACCACCGAGTTGGCCATAAAACCTAAGATGCTACTTCTCCAGAATATGGACGATGTGTTGAGAGCTGATATCATATCGGTACATTCCTCCATGTCTTCCTCATTTTCTAACTTCTGGCATTCTATGTTTAATTCGGCGGTTTTCAAATCCTTGATTGTGTCGATGTATTTCATATCTTTCTTTCTGATCCGCATGATAAGTCTCATTTTCTCTTTTTTGTTTTCTCCCTTGAGGGAATCATTCAAAATGGGGTGGCTCTTTTTCAAAGCGATCTGTGTATCTTCATACGTTTCCTCTTCGTTAAACCTATAATCGTAGGAACACCCGAAGAGGTCTAAGTATGTCTTGCCTATCAGTTTGAAAAAATTGTATTGCAATATGGTGAGTGTGAATACGGGTGTTAAGTAACTTGGGAACCCATACAGCGTCGTGAAATTGTTGTGAAAGCCACTAATACTCGTTTTTAGAGAAATATATTTTGTCTCGTAGTTTATAATAGCGGGCAGGTATATCACTCTGGAAATTAAATAATCGTGTATTGCGCTATATTCGGATTTAAAGATGAAGGTGATGTTTCCTTCTTCATTCAGGTAGTCCTTAAACGTTTTGGCCTTCTTATCTTCCAGGTCTTTTCCCTCTTGTATGGCTTTCCCCTCTTGATTGGCTTTTCCTTCTTTCTGGTCTTTCTCCCGACCATTATGCTTATACTTGGACGTGCTGCCAACAAAGGTGAACACGTCCTTCCACGTGTAACTCTTCGACGTTATAGATTGAAATGTTTTGCTCAACAAGTCGTTTATTTCCATGTTCATGTTGAAATTTTTTACTCGAACCGTTCTGTGGACATTTGGGAAGTGAATATTCACTTCGATGTTCATTAGCACATCGGAGTTATTCTTCTTCATGTCCCTACTGCTGTTGCTTCTGTCCGCCTTTATTTCTCTATAATATTGAGACTTTTCAAAATTGAATTGGAAGTGGCTCATTTGGCCGTAGAAATTTTCATGCGACTCGACGGTAGCCAAATAGATGATCTTCTTCATGGCGATGTGGTACGACAGAGACGCAACGAAGGAGAGCTGCTTCTTCTCCAGGTGCACATACACAGGGTCACAATTCGGGTATAGACACACTGACGTGTTGTCTTTCATAAATTTAATCACTTCCGACTTTTTTGTTAAATAATTTAGTAGGTAGGTTACGAAGCTGTCCTCCGTAATGCTGAAAGGAATATTTTTCAATTTGATGTTATGCAAATACCTTCCCTTTTTTATGTACAGCGGTATGCTCCTCTTCACAAAGGTGTCATTCTTTATGTCCATAACGGTATCGTGGAGAAGCAGATGCACGAGGTTTAGGAGTTCTTGCTTCTCCGAGACAGAAACGATGGAGGGTGCATTAGTAAAGTAGTAATTAATCACATATTCCATGTTCATTTCTTCGGGTATGGTTAAATACGATTCGTTATATATGATTCTAAGTTCCAAATCGTCCACATTTTTCATCTTGGTTTCTTCTTTGAGCTTCTTCTTCACGTGGGCCAGTACATCCGCCACGGTGTAATTTTTCGGAATGTTACAAATTCTGGAAGCGCCAAAAAGGTGCTTCTCGTAAAGTCCTGCGTTGTACTCGAAGCAAACAACAGAGAGGTCTATCTTTTTATGGTCAATTTCGTCTTCAACAAGTTTTTTTCTTAACTCCTTTATGACTATACTTCCCCTGTCTGTGCTCTCCGGGTTTTCCTTCTTCAATTTGTTGGCTGAGTCGTGGGTCATAATCTCAATGTGCAGCGTGCATGGGTCTCCAGTTTTGCACATTTTAAAAATTTCGCTGATGGTTCTTCCATACCGTATAACATCCTTGTAATCATTTAAGACGTATTTTTCATTTCCCTTAATGAGGTAAAAGTTTACATATTTGTAGATCCACTTTCGTTGGTAGCCAATGGCAAATCGTAGGAACTCTGTAATGTACATGCTGTGTGCAATGTTCATAACAGTTAAAACTTTTTTCTTATTTTTATTAAACATGACGTTAAAGGTGAGGGTACCTTTTCCCTCACTCACATTTATCACGGCGTTTTTTTCAGACTTGAAGTCGTACTTCCTGCCTGCTACATTTCTGAATATATCATCTAGTGGGTTAAATAGGGGCTTGTGGACTATGTACAGTTTGGTTCTGTCCAAATTGATAAGTTCTGTGAGCTCGCCTATAAAAACAACATTTTGCTCCACAATAGTTTTTGTCTTCATCAGGATTAAGGACTCTTCGTTCAGCAGGAGAAATTCGTCCACTAATTTTTTCGTGTTAATATGATTCGCCTTTATCAGTAGGAAGTTTATTATATCCTTGTTCGTTGCGCTCAAGGGGACGTTAAAAATGACCACCGGTTTGTAGGTCACCCCGTCATAAACGTAAATAGTGAGAGTGTAGCCACTCACAGAGATATTATTATAATCTATGTAGTCCTTTACTAGGATCTCTCTCAAAACGTTATCGTACAGCTGAGCCGTCTTCAATTCTGCGTCGGAAACGTTGACGGTATCTATTTCGGATATTTTGTCCAAGTCGACGTAGTTTTTTTTGGACTGTTTTTGGTCATTTTTTTTTTTTCCTAGTGAGATGAAGGTGCGCAACTGGGCGTCCTGCCCAGAATTGATGTACTTCTTCACATCCGTTATTTCGTTGTTGCCCACGTAAAGGGAAAATTTAATCTTCTCATCTTTTGGTAACTTCTGCCATTTGGAATACATATCCATCAGTATAGATTTGAGCAGCTTATCTGTGGTTATCTTCTGTGGCACGTTAATAATGTGTGTAATTTTTTTTTCATTTTTGTAGTGAACGTAAAAGCTTAGAGTCTCAATGGGGTTGTCAAAGTCGATCACGGAGGGTAGTGAATCAAGAGAGAACATCATATACGAGTCGAAATGTTCGCTGTTTCGAATGTGGTTGAGATGATCTGGGTATGCCTTCATCAAGAGTAGGTTATCCTTTTCTATAATTTTTACTACTTCTTCTATGGTATATCCAGGGATGGAGCTAAAGTAGTAGTCGTGGCTCATCAATTTGTCTTTATCCCTCGGTACGATTACAAATAAATTGTACAACTTTTCTTTCTCTTCCACGGGGATGTTGAAGGATCCTCTCATCAGGATGTTGATAAATTTCCACACCAGTAACGCCATGGGAACATTCTTTACTGATACCTTTTTGGAGTTGTTCCCTAGGTAAAGTTCCAAATTTTTGGTCTTCTTGGACGATTCTTTCACTTCCAGTATTGGGTTTTCGTTTGAGTCCCTCCCACTTAGTTCCAACAGCGACGCCAGGACGGTCTCCATCATTCTGCTGGCACTGAATTTTATCTTGTAGAACCTGCTGAGCATATTGAGGAGGAACAGGAAGGGTATTTTTTTACCCCCTCCTTTGGATCCTTCCTCGTCTTCGATGTAGACTTCTTGGTTTTCTCCGCTGCTGAGTTGGACGCTTCTCAGTTGGCCTCTTCTTAGGTGGCTGCTCAATTGGTAGTTTACCGAATGAGGACTCCCCGGCTCTGCGTTCCCCACTTGATAACCATCGCCCACCGGGTGGCTCCTACTGTACACAAAGAAAAACTCGCGCAGAAACGAATCCGATATGAACGCATTCGTATTTCTCAGCACCAGGTGCTTCAAATTATTGGCGTCCATGTACAGTGACAAATTGTGCAAGCTGTACGGAGCAAAATTATAGTTGATGTAAATGTTCAGCTTCTTAACGTAGATGTTCCTATCCGCTAAATCGATTTGCAAATTAGCTAAAGTCTGGAAGTTATTTCTCGTCAAAAATGTTTTTCTAATAAAAAGAGTGTACAAATCATTGTGGTTCATTTTTAACTCACTCACAGTTAAGTTATCATCGACATTTTCCCACTTCTTCTCCCGGATGGTAAAAATTTGTAAATCCTTAAGAGTATCTATATTGAAAGAAACCAATTTAGAGTTAATTATATTCTTCACCAAATTGCACAATTCCAATGCGGTCAAACTTTCGGGCACATTCATCAGAGTTAATCTGTCATGATAAAAGCATGACTGTTCGTCCAGATAAAAAATTGGTATTTCTAGGTGTATAATTTTGGAATCCTTCAAATTTATGGATTCTGGAATTTTTACATTTTCTAAATTGTCCACGTCTGCACAATCTTCCGTCTTCTTATTTCGAATGAGCAAATGTTCTTCCTTCTCGTTCAGGTGCTTCAATAATTCATATAACGTGATCGATTTGTCGTAAATGATGGAACTAATAACGTTCGTCTTTCTGCTAAAGGAGAAGTAATCCAAGCAACTATATATGTCAAGGATGGATATGCCCTTCTTGTACGAGCTGGTGTTTATAAATGTGGACGGCACATGCACTATTTTGTTCATAAGGTCCACTGCGAATAAATTCAAGTTATACGTTTTTTGTATCGGTGCCTTGTAGATGTTCACTTTTCGATTCGGATTGTCCATGTACATTTCAAAAAATTCGTAATAACTATCCTTTCTGTACAACTCTTCATCTTCCAAAATTGTTATTTCTTTGTTTATGTACTCGATTTCGTTTTCTTTGTAACCTGGTGGTGGTGGGTTCTCATCAGATACCGTTTTCTCACTTGCGTTCTTTAGTATAATTTCTCTTCCCAGGATGGCCTCGTCGTCTCGCAGCTGGTTTGCCTCGTCTTCTCCCAGTTGGGTTTCCTCCTTATCGCCAATTTCGGTTGCCTCTTCGTTGGTCACTTCGGATGTAGGGATCTCCTGCAGAAACTCTTCCTCCCCCGGGGTCAGCTCCTCATCGTCTCTATTCGACTCGTACAAACAGTCGAAACTTTTGGGTCTTATAATGTCTAGGTCTTTCTCATCAACCGACGCAATCACGATTTTTCGCCCTAGCAATTTGCTATAGTTGTACAAATCTAGTACATTCCTAATGAAGAGGGGAATTTCCTGAAATTTGCTTCGATTGTAAAAGTCGACGTCCTTCGGGACAAGGAAAAAATTAAACTGATCTATGGACTTGTTCGTAATGTTGCTGATTCCTAGGATGCTCATCTTGAGCATGTTCAAATTGCAGTTAACGTCCGATGTGACATGGATGGTGTTCTTTGAGATGTTCCCATTTTCGATATAGTGTATCGGTATATTCTGAACGCTGAAATGTTTTTCCATGTACTTCTTCACCGCTTCGTTAATCGCTCCTACAGCTTTATCTCCATCAATGGAAATGGATTCGTACACATCGCTACTTTCGTCCACCTCTTCCTTCTCTTTCGTGGGCTCTTCCCTTTTTATAATAATTTCTATGACTTCTCCTCCGTCTACTATCCTTTTTTTGACGACCAGATTATTTAAGTTTTCTTTGATCATTCTTATATCCTCCTTGGAGAGCAGGCTTCCATAATTCGATAGGATTTTCCGGAAATCACCATTGTGTCCTTGTTGGTCCCTTTCGCTTTTTACTTGCTTTCCCCTTAGGGCGATGTCCGTTGGTTCCTCCATCCATTTGTCCGTCCATTTGTCTGTCCATTTGTCCGTTGATTTTGTTTGTTCGAGCTGCGTCTCTCCACCCAGCATGGGCTTCGCCTCCTCTTCTTTCGGCTTCAAGTTATATGCCTCCTGGTGCAGCTTTGCCTTTTTCAGTTTCAGCAGATCCACTTTTTTTTTTGCCTTCTCTGCTTCACCTTTCTCCTGTTCTGCTTCACCTTTCTCCTGTTCTGCTTCGTCTTTACCCTGTTCTGCTTCGTCTTTACCCTGTTCTGCTTCCCCTTTCTCCTTTTCTTCTTCGTCTTTCTCCTGTTCTGATTCGTCTTTCCCCTGTTCTGCTTCTCCTTTTCCCTGTTTTTTTTCGCCTTCCTCCTGGTCTGCTTTCCCCTTCCCCTGGTCTGCTTCGCCTTCCTCCTGATCTGCTTCTTTCGCCTGTTCCGCTTTCATCGCTTCATCTGGGTTGTACTCCCCCCAGTCGCGCTCATTCGTCTCGTCCGCCGACTGGTTTCCCTCCTCCTGCTGGTCCTCCTCCACCGCTTCCTCTCCCGGGAACGTGTCTCGCTCCTGGATGTCCCCCTTTTGGTTGCCTCTCTCAACCCCATCGGAGGATTCATGCTCCCTTTCTTCGTGTATCTCTCTGATGATGTCCTCGAGCAGGAGGTACTTTTCATCTGGCCCAATAAAATAAATGGCCATATTATGTATATCAAAAACGGCGTGCCTAAACATGTTTATCGACCCAGCATGGTGCGACTGTACTTTTCCAAAATCCATGTCGAACCCGGTTATCATCTCTGCCTCCTCCTCTTCATCAGTTTCGACCACCGGGATTATCTGCACAAGCGATTCCTTAATTTTATAATCTACATCTTTAAATATTTTGCTGAACAGATTTTTGAATAAGAATAGGATTTTCCCCTTGTTGTACGTAACGTCCAAATTAGGCGTTTTCAAAAAGGCACTTACAACTGTCTTTTTCCTGGTAAAGAATGTGGTCTTATATAAAAATCTCAAGTTTAGGAGGAAGCTTTTTTCTTCCTTCTTGTATTCATCACTGTCTTTGTCATGGACAATGCTGTAATACAGGTCCTTCAAATAGTGCATGTGCTTATCGTTCTTCAGCATTTCTCCAAAATCGTAAAAATTGGTGTCATATGGGATGGAATCGTCTTCTTCTTCCATTTCGAGATCTTCACCCGTGACATCAGTTTTGTCCTTTCCTTTTACGTCCCTCTTGCCGGCTTCATCATCTTGCTGTTGGGCTCTTTTGGCCGTTCCTTTCTTATTCCTACGCGGGAGAGGGTGGTTCCTTTCGTTGTCTCGTTCCTTGATCGATAATTTTTCCTTCCTTTTAACTCCATCTTCGTCGTCTCCCTTGTTGTTTTCCTCGCTGTTTTCCTCGTCTTCTCCGCCCACCTCTGGTCCATTTACCCCCTCCTTTTCTCCACCTGTCTCCTCCTCTTCCTCCTCCTCACCATGGGCCCCATCTCTCCTGTTTAAGTTGGCTTTATCGAAGAAATCGCTACTTAGGGGGACCACCCTACTGAGGGATCCCTCTATTTCTTCCTCGTACTCGTTTGCAGCCACATCTATCTTGTACGTCTTTTTGAAATATCTTTGGCTTGGATGCTCCCCTTCACTAGGATGCAGTGGTTCGTCTGGTCCTTCCTCATCATGTGCTTCCTCACCACCATGCGTTTTCTGCTCATCGTGCACTTTTTCCCCAGAGGTCAATTTAATCGGGATCCAATCTTCATCTTCATCTAGGATGGTAAAATTCGGCACACCCTGTCCGGAGAACCTGTCCTGCTGACCAGCGTAGGCTGGCACCTTAGTCCCATACCCAGCACTGAAATCCTGCTCCTTGGGCGGTCTCCTTAATTTACAGTACGGGCAAATATACCTTTTCTGAAAAAGGCTAAAGATTTTTCCACTGGGATAGACACAATTGGTGTATACATTTCTGTAAAGACAATTCTGGTCATGCGGGTAATGCAAAATGGCCTCCGGATGTTTCACCTGGATTTCTTGCGCTGATCTGTCCATACTATTCACATTGCAGATACAAGTATTAAGTGCATTAGGGGGGATACAAACAAGGCAGTTGTTGCCATAATTCAGGTTGATAAAATTCTCCCTAAGAGGGCAATTATGATGTGTACTTTTGTCATAGTTAGAACAAGGTATACAGTACATACTACCTGATGGGTAGTTAAAATGGATTAGGGGAGAGGCATAAAAGTAGCCATCGCTAATGTACTGGGAGCATTGTGGATAGGGTAGTGCAGGTTTTCCTTCATGTCTTAACGGCAGTGGGTGATCTCTTGCTATTTCTTCCCCCGTGGAATCTTTACGAAGAAACTTTCTAATTGTTATTCTTTTTAAAATATTGCTACTGTTTGTTTGTGGACTGGGAACCTTTATTTGTTCCATTGGTACACTCCCCGCATGATCATCTGCAACATCGTCGATTTTTATCCCGTCTTCCTTTTCTGGATTCTTGTTTAAAAATATGTGATACTCGAATATATTCTTTTTGGCTTTCTCAAGGTTTTCTTTCTTCCTAATGAACAGTTGGCCAACTTTGACCGGCGATTTGATCTTCATATCCGTTTCATCATTTATAAAATTTTTTTTTTTCTTCATGGGAATTTTTATAATCCTTTTAAATCTCTTGGGCTGAATATACACAGGCTCCTTAGCATGTCTACCAAGGATGTAGCTATCAGCCGATTTGTTCACCGTCTCGGAATTCCCCCCAGAGTAGGTAGAGATCTTGTTATATTCCGTGATTTCTTTTTTCATTTCATCATTTGGCTTAGAATCAGGAATCTTGCTCATTGGGATGTTCAGCAGGAACTTCTTTACTTCTCCATAATTTTTATAATGATCTCGAATGAGAAAGAAGATCTCGTTTTTTGAGTCTTCGTAGGCCTTCATTTCATGCTTCAGTCCAATTTCTAGCAGCTCGAGGTTGAAATCAAGCACCGGTTTGTAGAGATCGATAAACTGGTTAAGCTTAATCGATTGGAAGGAACTGCTACTTGAAGAGAAATCATCTTGACATGTATCCTTATTTACAATCTTAATGAATAGAGGGTAATCTATTTGTCTGATGCTACTATCTGATAGGTTAATTTTTCCTGGGGCTCCATATAAAAACTGTTCACTCGATATGGCACACGTTTTAAATTTTTTATCCAAGTAGGATTTTCTTATCGATATATCTTCCGTAATTTTTTTAAAATTGGCTAAGTCTCTCTTGATGTATTTATTTTCTAGTTGAAGTAAAAAGTTGCTTTTTTTTAGCTCTTTTTTGTTCTCCACATCTTCATTGTTATTATCCACTTGGTGTAAATTTTTCTGAAGAACCTCCCTAATATCAACAATGACATCTGCTATTTCTCGCTTCTTAGCTCCATCGTCAATTTCTTTATACTTTTTATCTAGTACTTTTAAGGTCGACTCTATATTTTCCTTGGTCACTATTTCTTTGTTTTTTATTTTGTTCAATAATGCATTGTCCACCTCTTGCAACAATGTTCTGTATTCATCCTCGGCTAAAAAGGAGAGGTACTCCACTAAGTTGACATCCTTTGGAAAACTTCCAAGTAGCTTTCCTTTTTTTTTGCTGCACAGGACATGATGCGCTGCGAGGAATAGCAGGCTCAGGGAAAAAAGGAGGTCCACCCTCATGTTTTGTTCTCGGAGTCTGATCGCGGCGGCGGAGCGACCGGTGCCGTAACGTGGTGACGAGGGGGTGATCAGTTCAGCGCGCCCCCCCCTGTGGTAATATGTCCCAACGTATTTTACAAATGTATGAACGTATGTATGTAATTGTTTATGTATTCGTTTATGTATGTGTTTATGTATGTGTTTATATATATGTATATGTACGTGTTTATGTTTTTTTTTCCTTTTTTTCTTTGCATCCTCCCGATTAGCGCAAACCGGGGGAACAACTCATGCCGCGGTTATCACCTGTCTTGGGAATTTTTTTTTTTAATTTTCCCCTGGTGAACCCCTAGCGCAAATCTAATCACTGTTGCAGAGCGGATACAATAACTGTACACATAAATTTTTTTTTCAACACCAGTATGTAGAGAGAGGAAATAAAATTTTACAAATGAGAGTTACACGTTTTCTCATATGACGCTGTGCAGTTTGTTATTTTCCTTTTTTAATAACATAAAAATGGGCATTAATTTTTATATAACTTTCAACCGACAAAGAAATGGGCGAATACACATGCGTATGCATGCGCGCGTAAAAGGTGCCTCCTCGAAAGCCTATACTCGTTTGGCATACAAGAACGTATAGAATGTGACATTAAAGCGAAACTTAAACCACTTACAATAATCGTTCGAAAAATATTTCCTGTTGTAAAGGTGTTCGTTTTATAATTTATCATTTCCCTTATTCATTGAATTAACCGAATGATTGAATTCATATAGAGCCTTTTTTTTTTGTTTTCTTGTTTTTTTCTTTCACCTTCTTACAGAATTTGGTTGTCGATTTATTCGATTGTAATTTTTAAAAAACTGCATTTCCACATGGACCCCCTACTTCACATACGCATTTAGCATGCAAAAGTAGAGAAAATTAAAAGAACAAATTGCCCTTTCGGTTAAATAGGTCGTTACAAAATGCAAGCTTCCCTTTTCGATCCGTATATCAGAATACATCAAATCGCCACTAACGTGTGCGCGTCTGAAAAAGTAGGGCAAAATGCAAGAGGTGGTTATTATTGGCCTCTTCCGCAGGAGCCAATCGATTAATTGGTTGACATGTCAGTTCGAAGAGGAATGCGAACGTACATACACACTTATACATATGTTTACATTGTTATTGCATATTGGGGTGTTCATTCAGAATAAGCTGCCAAATTAACATCGGCCAGAAGGCAACTTCTTCAATTTTAGTAAAACGCCTCATCGTAATGATTTCTGAAGGGACTTACGGAAACCACATGACACGAGTTATCCCGACGACAACCACCAATTGACAACTCCTCATTCGTATTTATTTCACAATTTAGCCAAGCAAATTGATCTATTAAAAAAAAAAAATGTCATTTATGCGCATACATTTTTATCACATAAGAAACGGCAATTATTGCAAAAGATGCAAAAAAATGGCCAAGTTGTTATGCCAGGTGAAGCAGTGAAAAGCATAAGCATGTTGCTACATTGCCACATTGCTACATTGCTGTATTGCCACATTGCTACATTGCTGTATTGCCACATTGCTACATTGCTGTATTGCCACATTGTTACACCTCAGTTGACGATCCTTTTGGGATTATTCCTTTTTAACTCATGTTTCTTCCCCCTTTATATGCACGGAAGCGCAAATTTGCACATGTACGAATATAAACTATAATTGCCTACATGCCCGATCGCACACCGTTCTAGGCAACTGTAAGAACACACTGCCGTATGCGGACGTGCGTGTTGCCTGCACAGACTTATCCGCTGCGCGAAATGGGCATGTTTCAACGCAAATCTGTCCCCTTAAATTTTGCTCTTGAAATCTTTTGCGCCATTTTCCTTTTTTCGTTCACCAGTGAATTGTTTTCTTCTTTCGATTTTCTTTTTTCTTTTTTTTTTTTTTTTTGCAACTACGCGAACGTACTAAAGGGCACTTATTGTACGTGTACCACCGTGTATGTTTTTATGGGAAAAATGGGTGTTATTATTGCGCGGAAAAAGGAAAAGTGAAACATAGCAGGAACACAGCCATTTTTCTCCGAACTCCTCATTTAAAGCAACTTTTTCACAATTAAAAAAAAAAGAAAAAAAAATAACCTGTCAAACATTGTTGCGATAAAGTACATTTTTGTAGCTGACGCTTCTTCAAATTGAAGGAACAGCATGCGTATTTTATAAACAGCGGTAATTATGAAAGGCTTCCTCTGATCTATGAAATTACATGTTGATAAAGTTACTGGAAAACAGGGCGTTCATCGCGAAATAGGAGAGAGAAGCCACGCATTGGTACTCGTTCGAGCTGTTTTTTATGAAGGACAACTTGCTCCTTTTCCTTTTACAATTAACTGTTAAGCACAATTGTTCCCGTCCGTCTTATCGTTCTTAAAAATATGCACGAAAATCAGAAAAATGATGAAAAGGAAAGGAGTGGAGCAAAAATTTCGAGGGACAGCTTACTAGATGACCAATTCAAAGAAGGCACAAAGGATAAGCTTTTTTTACTTAATGACAAAGATGGAGATGTAGACGAACCGCGCGACACTCCCCCAGAACAAAAAACAAAGAGGGAAAAACCGCTCTTCCACAAGGATTTAATAAGCAGTTCATCCTTAGAGAAATATAAAAAATTTCTGGCAAAGATGGAGAAATCGAACGAAGAGTTAGGAAGTATGGATAAAGAAAGTGTGAGGATTGACAAGGACATCCTTGATCAGTCCTGTGATAATAGCGACGAAGCGTGTGTTGTCATGGGTAAGCAGCATGTGTTTATGTCATGTCCGTTTACTTTTACGCACAGAAGACAAGCTGCATATGCATGTACATATGTATAAACAAACTTTGTATGCAAATTTCCCTTCGAGATGTTATTTCCCTCCTTTCGCGGTGTAGACGTTTCCATGGGAATTTTCGACGTGTGCAACGACAACTTAAGCGAAAGCAAACTTAAAGACATGAACATTACAGTAGCGGACGTTGTGAATCAGGTCGGAAAAAAAATTAGGCTAAGATGTCCATTTCGGAAATACGTAAAAGAAAAGTGGATTCCGGTTGGAGAAGCACTGCACAACTGTTCTCGTGGAATTACAGCAGTTTTCGCCATTTCGTTCGATAGAGACAAATTCATAATTGTACTTGAGGAACAAATGGATTATTCCATCTTTGGGAGTTTTTTTTCGCAATAATGGCTACATTTTTTCGACAACAGTTGCTATTTTTTTTCACATAATGGCTGTTTTTTTGACTTAATGGCTGCTTTTTTGACTTAATGGACGTTTTTTTCACATATTGGCTGTTTTTTTTTCACATAATGGCTGTTTTCTTCACATAATAACAGTTTTTTTCACATAATGGCTGTTTTTTTTCTTTTTTTTTCTGAACGTTCATGCAGGAACGTGAGGATCAGGGCGAGGAAGGGCTAATTCAAGAGATGTAAAAAAAAAAAATATATATGAAGCAAAATTAGCTACTATGGCCACGAACTGTTTAGCTATTTTGCCATCCAGAAAAGGAAAAAAAAAATTTTGACAATTTTGAAGAGAAAGGGAAGAATTTGCTTACTTCTTATTCAATACGTTTGTTTCCGAATGTAGTTTCCATTTTTTTCTCACCACAACAGCTAACACATTTGGTGTGAAGAATTATCCTGTTCATTGACAAAAACTGAAGAAAACAAATTTGACTTTATTTTTTTGCTGCCCGTTACGTTTTCTGTCCAGTGCTGCAGTTTATTCTTAATTTTGATAGTAACACCCTCGAGTTCCTTTATTTTTACCTCTATTATAGGATCATAAAATATTATTTGCGTTCACGCGTTTGCACCACTTGAACTGAACACCATTTTACGTGATATTACCCCCCCCTCTCTATCACCATGGCCACGACACGTGCCTTAATTAATGAGTCGTTCATTATATTGGACAAGGACGCCGACGGGTACATAACCTTCAACGAGTTAGTGTATGCCTTAAGATTCATTGGAGTGTCCAGGGATTATAACAAGCTGTATCAAGATAACAAAGTCAGTTATAGCTTACGGGACTACTCCAAGATAGCAAGGAGGGAGCTAGGGACATTGACCCCTCAAAAAAGATTAATACACACTTTGAAAAAGTTAGACAAAGATAAGAGTGGCTTTCTGAGCGTAGATACAATGATTTCTTTAGTTATGACAATGAGCGATGTTTTAACTTATGAAGACTGCAAGAATTTTAAGCAGTTTGTTGATCCGTACAATAAGAATTTTATATCCTTAGAAGAATTTGCGCAGAAGATATTTTCCTGAGCCGGGCTGTGGAGACACTGTTGTGAAGGTTTATTCTCTTACGTAGAGAAGCAGTAATCCGCTTATACTGCCCCGCGTTTTTTGCCCTTTTTTGTGTTTTTTATTTTTTTTTTTGTTAATGGAGAAGTGGTGCCACTGTCTCTTTTATTTGACACAGTTTATTTTTCTCTCTTTAAAATTTTCCCTTTGGAGAAAAATAAAAAAACGGGTTTGCTTCCCTCGCCATCATACTGAACCGCCAGCGTGGATGGAAGACCCCGTGTTAACTGTCCCGGAATCGACTCCACCAAAAAGCTTTTAAATTTACCTTTTTCGGTTAATCCGCGAGGAAAAATGTCATTATCAGGTGAATAAATTGCTCACCATTTTGAGTATTCCTCGGATATGTACGCACACATAGGTATGTCGATTGTTAATGGAACCTCCGAATGTGTAGTGTACACATTTCTAGCTTCTGCATCAATTCCGAGTCGTAAAAAATGTTTGAACAGAAATGCTCGCAAATGTAAGCTACTGTTTCTGTGCCAGATGAGGTAAAGAAAAGGAAAAAAAAAAAAAAAAATATGTTTTAGGGTCTCCAAAAATGGACCGAAAAGAGAAAGAGTGCATGTCTCGCCACAGTAGTATGTATTAAGAAAAGAGTGCCGTTTCGTATGTCAAGAAAAGCGTTTTTTCCCCCCCTTATCCAGGTTGTTATTCCCATCCGCATTAGTGGAATCACTTGAAGATGACCCTTTAGTGGTTCTCCTTTTAAAGAAGGGACTTTCTCAAATGGGAAGTGCCATCCATCATTATATTTGATGCATTCTTCTCATGCGGTGATATGTATTTTTTCCCACGCTAATTGCTCTCCTTACGTTTCGCAATGCTGTTGCATACAAACATACTGGTATGAATACGCAAGGATATATTGCCTGCTTTATGTTTCCAATCCTATTAAGGAGTAATTTAAACTTTCTTTTTTCCAATACGTTCACACGCTATAAGGCATTAAAATGAATTTTCCTTTCCTGCTTTTTTTTCTTTTTTGTATTATAAGCTAAGGGATTGCAGGTTTAAGGCGAAAGAGTAGCATATAATAAAAAGAGGCTACTTAGTCTAGTGGTATGATTCTCTCTTAGGGTGGGAGAGGTCCCGGGTTCGATTCCCGGAGTAGCCCTTAGTGTTTTTTGTTTTTGTGCAAAAGAAAAATCGTCAAATTCCCCGTGTGAGTAGATTGCTCAAAGGAATATTTCCTCATAGAATTTGTTCTTATTTATTACTTTTTTAAAATAGTTGAGTTTTATTCCTCCCAAGTGGGAAGAGGAAGATGAACAGTGTATATTACCTCTTTGCAAATGGCTAAAACTTAATTTTACCCTCTTCAGCGTCAGGAATAAGAATGACTCTTTTTATGAATACGACCAACTATAGTATACTATAAAGAACGAAAAAAAAGAAGGAATATTTTCCCTGTTTTCTTTTTGGAAAAGAGAGCTCCCTATAATAAGGCGAACAATTAGTATCGAAAACAGAAAGAATGGAGTACATTTTTTTCATACCTTTTGCATATTTATTTATAACCGGTTGGGTGGTTTGACGGGGTATCTGTTCGCTCGGTTTGGCCCTACCAGAGTGGGGAAGCGAATATCCAAGCATAACATACAGACGAATAATTAAACGTATTTGCCCACATTTGTGCATTTTCCAGCGGGAGAATGGTGTTCCTATTGTCATTAAGAATACAGCATGACTTGCTTCTATTGAATTACAGCGCAGGATATATATTAGGAGGTTACTACGATCCGGTGTGAGTTCTGCTCCCATTTTGTGTGGAGTCGGGTGCCTTCCTTTCGCTCACTTCTTGTTTATGAAAAGGTGGATATTATGCTCCCTTGTTGGCATCTTCCTCTTTCACAGAAGAGGGAGATAACTGGCCGCATCCAGACGAGCAGGTTGCAATATTTCGCTATATAGAGAATGGCAAGAGACCGTTGAGTGTTGTCCCAAAAGAAGCGAAGCAAAATGATAACGCAGCCAGGAAAGAAATGATGCTCGCAGGCTACTTAAGGCAACTATCCTTTACTGGACTGTAGCATAACACGCGAATGAAGTTCCATATTGGAACAAGGACGATAACACACGACGTAGTTCATATTAACTGCAGAACTCCATTGAACTTTATATTTGTGGCTAATTTGAGATTTAAATTGTTCTCACAAAATTGGCCCTGCAAATAGGCATAAATGGCCGAGTTTTGTATAGTATAGTAAGTAGTACATTATTTTTTTTGGTAATTTTTTTAAACAAAAATCTACAAAACTTCTGCCATATATTTACGCAAACGATTTGCATGATTTTTTTCCGTAACAATTTGAATCATGTCAGGAGGGAATTCTTCATTAAGAATGACCTCAATTTATTGAGCCATTTTAACCCACTATTCTAACTATAAAATTTGGAAAAAATTTTTGCGGCGAATGAAGATATAATTGGCAGTTATTAGCATCAGCACGAGAAATTATGGCTTCGAAAGACTACGGGGTAAAATAATATGACCTCTGAAGTGCCTTATAATTTTGACTCGTTCATACTACAGTGGCCACACCAGATCCCATCAGAACTCTGAAGTTAAGCACTGTAAGGCTCGGCCAGTACTGAGGTGGGAGACCGCTCGGGAACACTCAGTGATGAGTCATTTTTTTTGCTGAAATTTTTTTGCATCCTCATGATAGAGAAATAAATGGGCCAATTTTAATAAAAAAGAAAAAAACGCGCTTCCTCATTTTATGGATCATAAGAGGTAATTAAAAAATTTACTGATAAGAATAATGCAAAAAATAGAGCTATAAATCAAGGGAAAAAATTACGTGAATGTTCGAATACCTTTCAATGCCGCAAACGATTTTGCCTTTATATTTTTTTGTAGGGGAGGTTGAAACAGCTTTTTGCCTTAGCTGGTAAAATAAAATAATCATTACCCCATTTGTCAAACCTTTATATAGTTGCGTAAATTTCCCTTTCAGTGACTAATCCACTTGAGAGGATGTTGGAATGTGGCGGAGGGGATTACTAATTAGTTTTGGTGGTTAAGTTAGGAAGGGAATGCGGTTACATGACGTAGTCCACATCCATTGTTCAGTTGAAATTTTAGGATTCTAAGGGCTTGCACCAAATCGAACTCTTCGGGGAAAGGACCCCCAACGGTTTTGACCAAGGATATTCCGTTGGTAGCTACCAGCGTGGTTTCTATATAGCTAATAGGGTACCCATACTGTGAAGTCCCTCTTCTTCAAAATTGTGTTCTTATGATAGGCTTTCGGGAAAATAAATGTCATTTTCTGTACTTTTGGTCTCCGCGGCTTCTTTTTTTCCTCTTGAAAATATCCATCTGTGCGCTCTTGTTTTTTTTTTCTTCTTGAGATTTGCCACTTCAAATAGCATCTCAAAGTCGTTATTCTTTACGCAGTATTAAATTGGCACATATAAAGTGTTCCTTCCTCCTTCCGGGGAAACGAAATGCACTAATTTTAGTGTCATTTTCTTTGAGCGTTCGGTTATAGCTGGCCTGGCAATTATTCATACACAAAGTGCTCAATTATCATATGTACGTTCAGGTCGTTATCCATCACATATATGTACGCATGTATATATGAATTCGGGTGAGGAGGCAGGGTACCTCCCTTGGGGGCTTAAGTTTAGTGGGGGAGCCGCAAAATAATATGACCTCTGAAGTGCTTTATAATTTTGACTCGTTCATACTACAGTGGCCACACCAGATCCCATCAGAACTCTGAAGTTAAGCACTGTAAGGCTCGGCCAGTACTGAGGTGGGAGACCGCTCGGGAACACTCAGTGATGAGTCATTTTTTTTGCTGAATTTTTTTGCAACATTTCCACATTTCGAGGGCCCTCATTAGA